CGGCGACAGGGAGATGCACGCAGACGCTCAATACTGACAGAATCCCCTATGCCATATCATTTACTCCTACCGGCTCACATCTCCAGACGGATTTTGGTACTATCGATCTAGCTATGCCGCCGCCATACACCCTCCACCTGGCACCGTCAAGAACTGCTTCGCCAACTCTCCAACGTCAAGACTACGGTGTAAGCTCGAATGGCAGGTGGGTCACGAGGGGCTCGGAAAACTGGCTTTGGCTGCCCCCAGAATATCGGCCGGTATGCTCGGCCGTAGCGCCATCAACAATCGTTATCGGCAGTTCATCCGGACGAGTGTCAGTTATAGCGTTTCGGACAAAACCGACGCATCTGTTAGAACATTGATCACGCACTGAGTTTGTCTCTTGATTTTTCATCATAGCGTGCCACAGAAAAGGGTCTGGGAGGCGCCGTTAATTTATATCCGTCGTTGTTCGAGTATTTTCGAGAACTTCTTCTGGTCTTTGTTATTCCTGCGACCTAAAAATCGCCAGTTCCCAGAATCGTGATGTGGTGACGTCGTATGACTGCCGATTCAGACATCTTCGACTTCCGTCGGTCTCAAATCCAGCTCACCGGCAACGACAGAGGCGCACGGGAAGTTCATCAAGTACCCTGCCTATGTCCTGAAATTCTTCTAGTCCAAGGATGGCAAAAGCAGAGCGTGGATAGAGAAGGATGAAACTAGTCTTATGGTGCCACTTTTCAAGGGCGCAATAGATGTATTAATTTGCGTCTGGGACAGCGATACGACACATCGGATTCAATGGCACTGTGGGTTTGTCCTTCACCTCAGCGGGGAGACGGGCATTCAACCACTGACAGGAGATCTTATTTTCTATTACCACCTTTTTCATAGGCCCGACGGCTGGGGAAGCGGAAGGGCGAGAGACCGTGGTGGGCGAGGGAGAAGTAAACGAATGTGCAGGCAAGATAGGAGCCGCTGGGGAAAGAACCTCCTAGTCCTATTATTCGCGTAAATTCAGAAATTCATGCATGAAAGAATCCAACACTTCCTCTGGAGGAGGAGGGATCCCTATTTTCTCCTGGTCCAGTCTTCCGACTTCTCTAGCTGCCTCTGAGACTATATGCCAACCGGGGTGGACTTCCGGGCGCCATCACATTACCGCACTCATAGGATGTAATCATTCCTCTAGGTGCCTCCTCCACGCCCGTGCCGATTCCCATTTCTTCCATCCCAGCTCTCTGCCCACTGAGACAGCTGATCGGCAAAACCAATCCATTCGGGAGGGTAAACTCTGGCGTTCGGGCCTAAGGGTGTAACGCAGCATTCTCGATGTCACGTGGAGAAAAGGTCCCCCACATCAAATTCGTCTCGGAGCAAGTCCCTGAAGCTTGAAACCGCGGATGCCGGCTCTGACCGCCCCCGCACCGCCGCATCGACGAGCAAGTGGAGCGAGGCTTCTTGGTGACGGTGACAGAGTGTACTCGTTTTTGTTGATAGACTGCAATGTAGGCCTGCTCCTTTCCTCGGCACAATTCCTGGGAACCCACCGCCCATTTCGAGAAATGTCCAGAGGTACTAGAGGCATTCCACAAGAAGGTGGCACGACTCCTATATAAACTTCACGCAGGGCGCCTTATGGTCGTCGGTAGATGAAATAGAGCCGATATTCATACCTTGATCACGTGACGTTTACATGTGCCATTTTCCGGCTGGTGAGAACATTGGGAAGTAGTGCTTGAAAAGCCCTTGTTGGAAAATACAGGACCGTGATTTCAGCGGCAAAAAGAAGCACCGTGTGGCAGAAAAGGTACGTACCAAGTGGCAGAACTCAATCATGTTCGATGAGCCCGATGAGACGGTAAGCTCAACGGATGCGCCACGAAAAACAACTTACCTCGTGTCGCTGATCCAATCTTTCGTTGAGCGATACGCCGTGCTTCGGCGTGAAAGTTTCGCGACGTCACCCGCCCCTCTGCTTTGTTGTCGTGGAGCATATTAAACCCACATAGAATGGCCTCCCCGGGCCTGAAGCGGTTATTCCAAGCAAGTGGCCCATACGGTATTTATGATGCAGAGAGATCGCGTGGATTTTTCACACAAGAATGGAAAGTGTCAATTTATCTGAACTGCATTGCTACACAATTAAAAACAGCACAACCTATCCTTACACCCACGGGATCTCCTGATAGTCCCTTAACATCTGTCGGTCCAGGGGCGCATTCGAATCGGACGGCCAAAGCAAGATCATCCGGTTCAACAAGGTACGCGTTTGGGCTGAAGCCATCCCCATCATGTAGGTATTGCCCCGATTTCGTATATTGCATTCTCATCGTCCTTAGGTTGAGGTAGGGCAAACGGAAAACGTCCTGATCTCCGGGCCTCCACGACAAGCAGATACTTCGACCCCTGTATGTATCGTCGGAGCCGGCTGCATGTATAAAGCGTCGGCATCGGAGAACAGGCCGGTATTTGTCCACTCTCATCTCCTCCAGGACGGCTCCAGGTGTGGAACGGTTGCATCCCCCACCAACTCCATAGTGCCAGCCGATGCGGCGAGGCCGACACTGATCCCGTAACTATGCAAGCTTCGTGAGCGCGGAGTGCAACGACGTACAACTGGTCGAGGCCTGGCAGCTGCTGGAACTGCGGCCTGGTGGCAAATACTAGAAGTGGAAAGGAACCCCGAAAGAGAAAGATGCTGAAGAAGAACGGCATCAGCTCCAAGCCGGGGTCCAACTTGAAGATATCGCTAACGGCCTTCGCCGCGGAGAGCGTATGTGTAGCGGCGTCAAAGAAAGCCAAACACAATCCCCGATCGCTGTTGTCGACAAGGTCGGCTTCCCAGTGCCCACGAGTGAGCAGGATGCGCAATACATACACCATGTAGGTGCCGTATGCCGCAGCCAGCCGGTTCCCGCGCCAGTGAACACGCGGCATTACTCCAAGTACTACCCTCATGCTCGAGGGCAGATCCCACTGTAGCCAAGTAGATGCAGGCGACTACATCGTCTACATTACCGGCGGGGACGTCTATCTGGGCAAGCGCTAAGGTCAGCAGTTTCAGCCTGTCGCAAACTTGGCGACGGACGTGCTGGTGCCCTGCAAGAAGAGATGACTCGCTCATCTCGGCAGCGGCCCACAACATGCTCGACAGAAGAACAGCTTTGCACTGGCGAGGCCGACTACCATTCAAGAACGAGCGTCTTCGGTAGAGGAAGCACAAGACGTAAGGCGACAAGGGGTATAGCGGGGTTAGCGGCCGGCTCTCAAAGTAGCGTTCTAGCAAGTCGTAGGCTAATGTAAGATCGATTGAACCAGTCAAGTAAGGAACCAAAGGTTCCAAAACGGGGTATCGCAATTGCGAGCGACTGATCTCGGGCTGCTGTTTGTTGGATACGCACGTAAGCAATGGGAATGGCGTGTCTAATGCGCTTGGTGTGCCAAGGGAGACTCGGAACATATGCTCGTCGTCCGCAGAAAGTCCAGCGAGAGTAGGAAGACTGCCGTTGTAGTGGTAGTGTGCTGCGTCTCCTAAGTCGACCCTGTTGTCCCAAACGCCGCCATCCTCACGATGGTCCCAGGCTGGTGTAAGGTTTGAGCCATCTCCATATAGTATACTCGCATTGGAGGCTTCCATTAGACTGTACATGTCTGGTAGTATCCAAGAGACTGGTATCAACGGTGGAGGTAGGCCTGTTCAACGGTGGAGGCAGGATTGGCTAGTACGCATTGCAGAAACATTCGACTTGAGGATGCCTTGGCCAACGTATATATCCTAAAGTTGAGACAGCGGGGCCAATAACGAAGACCGACCAGCATATTAGATTGATCGTGAGGGGCGCACTTACATCCGCGCGTCCCTGTTTTCTGGAGGTTGTGGGAATCGCGAGAAAGGGACTGAATGCCACCGGGCCTGGCCCAGGTGGCCAGAGTTGGCATACTAACAGGCAACACAGTACGTCAGCGCCAACATACACTACAGAAAAAACCGAGCGAGCAAAATGGTGGCAAGCGTCTCACCAACGGTGCTCCCCAAAGCCAAGGAGAAGAGAAAGAATTATAGCTTGGGGCTCAAATCCCCGTCGGAGGTCGGGGGGAAGGTAGAGAAGTAGATAGGGACTCGGGAGACGAAGCAGGTCCAGGTATGGACCCGGTATTGCTGATGATGATGCGGGAACGGTGGGATGCCCTCCTCCTTTAGTTAAATGTATCTACAGCTAGGATGGAACCATTTGATGCGCTACTCAACCGCTCTAGCTTTGGCATCTTCCTAATTCGAGGATCATCAAAGAGCCAATATCGCTCTTTGATGCATATATGCCACGATCTGGCCTCTTACCAAGTCCGGTATGGTATTGTTCTATAGAGACCTTTGTCCGCAATAACCAAAGGCGACAAGTCAAAAGCCCGTACTCAGACAGTCGCTTCTTACATACTCACATATCACAATTCACCTCACCAGGCTCAATGGACGGGCGTAAACACACGATCAATTTGTCTCCCTACTTCCCAGAGACACCGTCACCCCTGGGCTTGCAAAGTCGACGGTCAGTTCGCCATAGCTTTGTGAGTAAGGAGTGGGGGCTTCAGGGATACTACGAGGATCGAAAGAGCCGGGCCCCGTTGACCGCGGCAAATCCCCAGGGAACGGCGCCAAGTACCAGCTGGAGCTTCGAGACAGGTCTCCAACGGCTGCAAAGAGGGCGAGATGCCAACTCCAAACCTGCCGAAGAGACTCGGCCAGACTTGGACAACCACGTTGGAGTTCTCAAGGTAGAGATCACCTCCTGAGACTCCAGTGTCAAACGGACTTTGGGTGTTACATTGAACCGGTTCGGAAATCACACACACCACAACACCGTGTAGACTGCTCAACACCTGGTCGTGGTCGTATTGTCGTAACAGAGGGGAGGACACGTTGGCTCGTCAGCAGCTTGCGCCTGCTTCTTGTCAACAGAATATAACCTCCGTCTGATCAGATCAGAACGATCCTACCTATGGTTACTCAATCGTCGAAAAGGAGGGCTGCAAAGCACTGCTTCAATTGCTCCCAATATACATTATTATTGTTCCCCTTGTTCTAGAACTGGGCTGTTGCCCTTTTTATACTACATGTTCCAAAGCACTGCAAGAAGGGTCCTATGTCATGTGGGCCCTCAGAAAAGGAAAAATAAATTTCGGCTTCTCTCTGCCCAGATTCCCCAGTGGTCTTCATCCCAGTTCAACATAGAGCCGGGTTTGGCAAAATCCTCAACTGTCGATTAAATAGCTCCGCGTTGTACGGTTCGAGCGCCCTGGTGACTTCCAGAAGGTTGTACTAGCTGTATGCACCTCTTTTGTTGCTGTATATTTGTTAGTATACGTTCTATATCTGTATTGTATCTATAGTTGTTGTTGCATCAATAGTAGGGGCTTACTAGCAAGAAACCTCTTATCAATAACACCCGTCATAGGCGGCTGACCTGGGGTAATAGGTAGGGGCAGACATTGTTCAATGGGCCGTGTAAGTGTGCGATCATCTGGCAAAGCGTCTTGGGCCATAGACACAGGTCGGTTCATTATAGGCCGAGGGAGAGCGGGGATAAAGGAGGGTGTGTAGGCGACACGATCAGAGGGGCGTTTGAGCTGTACTTATTTATTCCCTCTGGTGCCTGAACCTGTCATGAGTACCCAAAATTTGGATGGAGCGGGGATTTGCAATGGTCATCTGCCGGCAGCAGCCGGTCTGGCCCCAAGGCTAACGTTTGTATGAGATGGTAGTAGCGGCACACCGCTTTGGCGATGCCTGGCAAGCCTTTCCCGGCCGGTACTGGCGAGTACCCGGCCTAGGCAAACGCTTGGCCGGCATTTTGTCTGTGCCCCAGCCTTGTTCACCCCGGCTTACTTCGGTGGCCAATCGATCCTTACAATGGCCGCCGGGCGGGGTGCTCTGCGCAAATCAAGGGAGCATCTGCCAGCACCCTGGTTCGCCAGACAGGGTAGGCCAGAGAGGGATGGTTACCCAAGGAAAGAATTCCCGTTATGCTACCAAGCAACACAGTGATACTAAGCCCGGCGGTACGAAGCCAGGCAGCGGTGAAACCTGAATTTACAATAATATCACGGTTGGCCAGGCGCGCATCATGACGGGCAACATCGAGGTGGAGAATTAGCACAGGGTAGCTGGACGAAAGACTACGGTTACCGGGAACGAATCCGGGCAAGATGTCCGGATCGTGACAGGCGATCAGGGCGGCGATGCGGCAAAGGGCTTCAATGAGAGATTCTGGAACTGAACACATGGTTGCTCTGCGGGGCAAGTCGCCATTTGCGCCGCGCTCGTGTGCTCTACTTTCTACCTTCACTTGTTGGTTAGTGCCTTGGCAAGACATCGAGGCGGCACGGGGCGCGCCGCCAGCTTCCACCCCTAATGGGGTTGTGGATTCTGCAGCCTGAATTGATTGGAGGGAGGCAGCTGTGGTAAGGTACCAAGTACCTGGCTGTGACCAAGCGCCCCGCACTGTCGAGACACCCGAAAATGGCGGCCCTGCCCTGCCAAATTCGGCGGCTAGAACAGCAAGTTCTGTACTTAAGCTGTAAAGAAGGCGAGGACCAGTGGGTGGTACGCACAGAAACGCAGGAAAAGCTCCTAGCGCTCTCGCCACTGTACGAAGTGTCCTCGTGGGACACAATTGCCAATTACATTGTCCTGGGGCATAAGTCGGGAGAGATCACGCTGCTGCAGTCGGAGCCCTGTTCTTAGGTAGATTACATAGAGCAAGCGAACCTCGGCTTTTCAGTTATCTAGGTGGTCGTTAAAGACACATTGAGGTCTCCACAACACATGATTGGATTCAAGATGTTGTGGATCGCCGCAACAGAGA